TGTAAGGATCAGGGCGAATATATTGTTCCTGGCGGAGGATGCCGAGCAAACAATGCTGTTTGATCGCTTGTTAAGAACATCACCACGTTCTCGCTCAAAAGTAATCGGTTTCGACCCAACGCGATTCGATCGGCACAGCCCAGATCATTGCATTGACAACCGCAGGTCAACGTCATCTCTCTAAACAAGTACAGAACAGACAGCGAAATCAAAGAACACGTCGCACACAGCGCAGCTTCATGCTTGATGGTCGGTGGAAACACAACCCAGCTGACGTGTGACCGTTGCGCCGTGTCAGGTGCCCGGACCGTGGAATACCCCTGCCATGTCGCCCAAGCCAGGCCCCAGCCCCGCTCGGTCCGCACATGGCTCCAGCGTCGGCGCCGAAGGCTCGTTGTATGCGTGTGACCCGTCCAGTACGACCTGAGGCTATTCATGTAAACATATACCGTTGCGGCGTTTTTACATGAGACGCCGCGGCTGGTTATCTCACACTGCTCGAATAAACACATACGATACGTAATATTTTTTAAGAATCACTTCAGCAAATTTGTGTTGCCACGAAGTTGAGCGAGAAACTCTACACTGAAGCGAAAGGAATTCCGTTAACTAATGACATTTCACTTCATATCAATAGCCTCGCGTCACAGTTTACCACATTGTGACTCGGAAGCCTATCAGCAGCGAGCACTCGACGACGTTCGTCGCTTCAGCGGTCGCTCTTTACAGCTAACGGTCCAATTCATTGCACGCTCGCACGTGCTCTTATAAAATCGTATCACCGGGACAGCGGGCTGCACGTTGCTACGCACACACCTTCAAGACAGCCAGGAGACCTGTGGGGCATGCGCTTCACACCAGGCCTACATTCCAGGTCACAGTCCGTGGGAGGCAGTACATGCTCGAACGTCGACACGCGTATGACATACTATTTCAGTTGGCAAACAGCGATGAAACGCTCTGCATCTGGCGGCGCAATCCCGTAGAAGTGTTTCATGCCGAGTAACCCCGTTCTCAAAACCGCTGTGCCGGTGAACTTCTCTGGCTATCGCCCCCTCCCTCCCACTCCTCCACTCCCTCCCAGGCTGTCACCCGCCATGATATATGCTTTGCGACGACACGCTGACACGTGTTGAAGGGGCTGGCAGTGATGCAACGATTCACGGGACAAGTACGTAGATGGTAGAGCAATACTGATTACTGACCAAGGAATGCTCAAATGCACTGCGAAACGTTTCCATGAATACCATATGTAACACATAATTCACACGGTAGCGTACCAGTGCAAGAAGTCCTGGGAACAATAAATTAAGAATTCCGCCTCCAGCAACACACCCATGTTCCGTAAAACTGCTCAAATGAACTCTCCCGGGGTCTGCTGCGCGCCTCTCAAGTGGCGCTGATGCTGCCCTCCCGCGCGGCGATGGGAACCTCTAGTGTCTGTGGCTGGTGCTGGGCGTCGCTGGCGCCGGTGCCCAGCCGGCGCTGCAGAGCCTCAGCAAACGGGTCGCGCTCGGCCTCGGTAGCCTCGGCACTGAGCGGCGCCGACGGCACGCCGCTGTCGCGGCTCGACGGCCGCGACGAGGCCGACTCTGCGGACGGCATGGCGGCCGGGCACGAGGCGCTGCTCTCGAGCGACAACTGCGGCTGGTAGGAGGCCGGCGCCGCCATCGTCATCTGGTAGGGTAGCTGGACGCCGATGCTGTGCAGCGTGACCAACTCGCCCGGCGGCGGCGTGCGGGTCGGTGCGTCACCCAGTGACGTCGAGTTGAGCCGGAGTGTGAGGTGCGGCACGGAGCCGCCGCCGCCGCCAGAGATGGCCGCTCTCTCGCAGCGGTCCTGCCTCGCCTTCTGAGCGCACATCTGGAAGTATTTCTGGAACAGCAAGCACTCCGGGGTAGGCTAAACATTTAGCGGTAAATGCAGGGGAACGTCACCAACCGTCGAGACAATCCGCCGTCCCACCACCACAACAATGCTCCTTATAAGAAAGGTTCATTGCAATTCATAAACAAAATAAAACAAACAGATTGGCCACTGTGATTACATACAACTGAGCAGCACCAAAGGCTGAGCTCTACCACGTCATGCGCCAGCATAGCCGGTCCGGCTGCACGGCTCGGTTCGGCCGACTGACCTGCTTGGCCTTGACCTGCTCCACTGCGGCGGGCACCTCCTTGTGCGACGTCGGCGGCTGGAGGTCGAGCAGGCAGAACTGGTGGAACACCTCCGAGGTGTGTGTCAGGGGCCGCGCCTGCGGGCCGAGGTCAGCACCGGGCCGAGGTCAACACCAGGTCATCATCCGGGCAGGGGTCAGCACCGACGGACAAAGCCGGCCAGGGCGAGTGCGAAAATAGGGAGCGATTGTGATGACATCCTTAAGTTGTTCTTAAGTTGTTGCGATTTTGTCAGGCAATGCCAGCTTCTGCAGCACCACAAAGGAAGCTGTGGGCCTTCGAGGTTACATCAAGCATGCAGCGAAGGTTATACGAGGGACAGGAAACTGCACTCGGCATGTTTCCAGTCAATGGCAAGAAAACACTCGAAAAACTGTCGTATTTTCAGATGCGAGCAGCCAGCACGCATGCCAAGAACTGTACAAACAATACGCCAACAACCACTTCTTTTTAAGGGTAAAAGCAAGCGGTACGACGCGAGGCTTCAAGAGCTCCGGGCACAATCGACATCCTCTATAACACTCTGAGACTACGAAGCACTCTTAAAGGCGCACTAGAGCAGCCACAGGACGGCTCTCCGACCGGCCACTCCGTCCCGCAGCAGCACTCGTGACCGCAACCGGTCGGGAGACGAGACGCACGGCCGACGAGACCCAGGCCAGCCAGCCAGCTGGCAGATGGGGCGGACCACGCACCCGCTGCGAGCCGCGTCGCTCCCGGCGCCGCCTAGCGCGGCCGGGCGGCGGCGGCGGCTCCTCCTCCTTCCGGCGCAGCAGGAACATGGTGGGCCCGCCGTCGGCGTCCGGAATCTCCGTCTGGCCGGCATCAGCCAGCGGCGTGCGCGGACTGAGCGGGGGGTGGAGCCGCCTGCGTCACGAGAGCGGCCCGGCCGGGTCAGAGGTCAGACCGCCGAGGTCAGCGGTGGGTCAGGGGTCATGTCCAACGGAGGTCAGCAACGGGTCAGAGATCAGGTTCGCCGGAGGTCAGCGGTGGGTCAGGGGTCAGGTTCGCCGGCTAGCGGTGGGTCAGTCAGGTTCGCCGGAGGTCAGCGGTGGGTCAGAGGTCAGGTTCACCGGAGGTCAGCGGCGGCTCACACGGAGCGCTGTCACAGACCGGGCGAGACGGCCCAGCTGGCCGCTGTGCAATGGGGTCATTCACCGAAGGGAACCACCACGTCACAGCCTCAGGACGCAGAACCAAATGCATTCAGACATTTTGGTTTCCCGTCTACGCAACATAACATCGCAGTTCTACCCACTACTGAACAAAATTCCCAATCTACCGATCCCTACAAGCAGCTTCGATGGTAGTGCTACGCAGAAGCACGCACTCTATAGATCCAACTCTTTCGTTGCGCCCCCTTAAGGCATAGAGCCAACTCTTCCGTTGCGCCCCGTTAAGGCAAACGATCACAAGAACCCAATGTGTCTACCCTGCAAGAGTTGCCCGACCACCCCAAGGTCCCGCCTCCCAGAACCGTGCCCACCACTTTAGGGCGGCAGCGACCGGGGACTGACCGGAGGGCATCAGATGGGCCGAGGGTGTGGCCGGAGTGGTGCCCGGCGTGTGCGACAGCCGTTGCAGGTACGTCAGCAGCAGGACGCACGTGCTCAGCTCCTGCAGGAACGGCTCGGGCGGCTGGCGGGGCGCGGCGGCCGCCGGCGGCGGCGGCGGTCGCGCCGGCTCCTCGCGCGGCGGTCGGCGCCGGCGCCCGCCCGCCTGCCGCTGCCACGCCTGCCAGGCGTCCAGCCTCTCCTGGTAAAGGGCGTCTAGCGCCTGTCGTTGACGCCGCAGCCCGTCCAGCTCTGCCGGACGGGATGGCGGTGGCGCCGTTACGCGAGGGACGCGCCTCAAGGGCACCGCCGGCCCATCTCGCGGCGGCGCGGCGACGCCAAACGGCTGATGGTGCGGTGCTGCGTCAGGGCCAACCGACGAGCAGGCAACTAATGCGCAGATTGGCAGTCAAACGCTGTCACCGCTGCACTATTTATAATACGATTGCGTTAACTCTGTTCTATCTATTTAACAGCATCAACGGCGAAACAATGCATCCTAAGCGTGAGCATTTCAACTACGCCATCGCAAAGGATGGTGTCCATGATGCCAGCAACTGTGGTGACACGTGCGACACTAACCTTCGTCCAGCATTTTGATGCTGGCCGCAGTGGACTGTGCCTCGCGGTGGATCCGCTCCTCCTCCCGCTTGTTCTTGTCGATCTCCCCGTACAGACGGTCACGCTCGTACCGCAGGCCCCGCTGGTTCTGGGTCAGCGCGTCCAGCTCTTTCTGAAGAAACGAGTTGGAGACATGCATCAGTAGCGCGACCGGGAACATACACTGGGCAACTGGACAGAAAACAATGTGTGAATCGGGGATAAGATGCCGTCCCGACCGAGGAGTTACGCATGCGCAAGGCCCGGTCCCGTTGCGAGGCCATGATTATCCCGAGTGCCGCTACCTTTTTGGCGTCGTATTCGCGAAGCGTTCGTTTGGATTTTTTCAGGTCGTTGATCTCACGGACCACCTTCTCCTCCTCCCTGAGCTTGAAATTTTGCGTTTGTACTTGTTTCTCGAGCCGCAGCACGGCATCGTCCACCTGCTGCGCCGTCCGGTACTTGAGCTTGTCGCGCAGCTTGAAGATCGCGTGCCGCTGGAGCCCAGACCGTGTCCGTCAAAAGATCGGTGTGACGTCAGAGCCCAGACAGTGTCCGCCAAAAGATCGGTGTGACGTCAGAGGTCTGGTCGGCGGGGCGTTCCATCTCGAACACTGAGACTCGAGTTCAAATCACGCCAAAGACAGCCTGTCCGTGGTCCTACAGAAAACCAGGCGCACGACACTGCGCCTGTTTAGAGTTTCGCAGATACCTGCGTGGATCACTAATCTAACATCGCCCACCGTCAGCGGACAGCTCGGAGGCTGGGCTGCAAAGGAGTTGGCTAACATGGACTAATGCCAGATGTCCACGGGACGGTGGGGCCTCGGTGAGCCCCCGGAGCAGATGCTGGCGCCGGTGCTGACCGTTTCGGTGATGCGGGGCGCCAGCGCCTGCAGCCGCTCGTCCGTCTGTCGGTGCAGCTCGCACAGCTCGCGCCGCGCCGTCTCCAGCTGCTGCAGCCGGCCGGCCGCCGCGCCGCTGGTCTTACAGCACCGCTGCCGACGGCAGCGGGCATACACGCAACACTCAGCCGTCGACATAAGCCGCGGGTCACGACCCACCACACTGCTTGCGGAGCGCCGCCGAGCGGACGGCGAGCGGGCACACGCAAAAATCAGCGTTCGGCACAAGGCCGCGGGTCACGACACCGCACCTGCTGCTTGAGGGCGCCGACCGCCGACGGCGCGGGCAACCACGGGCCGTCGGGGCTCGGCCAGCCGACAGTAGGTCGGGGGTCAGGCTGGATACACAGACTGGGTACAAGCCCATCTTGGCGAGTAAGAGACGGCCGTAGCAGGGTGAAAGGCTGCCCAGATGATGACATTTGGTCAAAGGGCGTTTGTCACGCCTATGCTGTGTTGTAACTTACAAAAATAATATTTTTGCAAAACATTGCTTTAGTAGATGCAGTTTTGTCCAAAAGACACATACATGGAAGTGGACCATAAAAAATGACAAGAAACAATCATGTTTGGCACAAGCTCTTACCAGTTGATCCTCTAAATTTTTTTATTTGTTCTGTCAACAAATTTTTGTCTTTTTCCAGCTTGCTTTTGTCAGGAGGCTTTGGAGGGGGCTCTTCCACTTCCAGCTCAGGTGCTTCATGTGCTGCCATGTTGATGATCAAGGGAGTTGCTGAAATATTTAAGTTAAATTGAAACAGGGCAACAGTAATACTTTCCCTTTAAGCCCTCATCAAACTCATGTCATGCAGAAAAAGAACTTGGAAAAATCCTACTGGCACTAAACTACATGATGCTTCATATAGTCTACATCAGATTCACCACAAACCCTCACAAGATAATTTTTAATGGTTCATAAATTACAACACAGCTGGGGTTGTATATTTGTTACAAGGGTGTGCAAAAATTGTTAGCTTTGGGGTGTCCCAGTCACAGGCAATATTCAAAACATCACAAAAATCTGGCTAGTATATATATATATGTATATATATATATATATATATATATATATATATATATATATCAAGCACCTGTTTGTAGTAATGAAGCAATTTCCAGCCTCCAATGATAGCAAGGGCATGTAACTTATTCAGATGCAGGCATGGATATAGCACTAAATGACATGTAACTGACAGATACACAAATGTCATGCAAAAGACATTCCAATGTGCAATGCATAAAAGTAATTTGCACAAATGCTTGTCTTCATGTGGCTGTCTATGCCATCACATCATTTTGCGAAGGTATCATGCTACCAAATTATACCAGGCTGCAACACTGGGTGACAAACAAAGTCTTTCCCAGTGCTGTCTGGTCACAGCAATGATGTGAACCCAAATCCCCACAACTGGGAGTGGGTTCCCACTAGCAAGTCAGAAAGGGATGCTTCCTTGAAGAAGTTCCCCATCACCACAAATCCAAGTTTCTGCATGGAAACATGCAGAATGTAAGGTGGTAGTGTGGAAAGTGAGGCTGGAGGCAGCCCCTCCAAACCCCCAATTATGGCACAACATATGATTAGCTTTGCAACATAGGGTAATGAGAAGTGAGAGGGTTTAAACAATGCTCTCTTTACTCGTCCCTTCTTCACTCCCTTCCCCGTGAAGCCCACACCAATACGTTGAACATGGCAGTCAAATCTATCATGATGAAAGTCAATAAAAAGGTGTTTAGGAATAGGGTGGGGCCTGTTACAAAAACTGTAGCGCACTGCTCATATCTAATCCTCGGCCCCACAGTTTTATCAGAAAAAATTGGGCCAATTCAATCAACAGCTTTATTCAACATGATGCAACCTAATACATGTTATGTGATGATGTATATCCAAATACAACAGATAACTGAATTGGCATTTAATTTAAAGGCAGCCAATCTTACAATGGTGTTGTTATGTAACAAGATGTTTTCAGAAAAAAGTCCTCTTCTTGTAAACTTGGAGCAAATTTACCACCAAGTTCAGAGCCAAACTCACAGGCTTTTATCTTCAGGTCCACATCCTGTTATAAATGGTGCAAAGTAAGGTAACATATCTGAGTAGGACAGCCATTAGCTTAGTAGTAACCCAGAGCTGGAATGTGACTGGCAATATGTCTATTATGTGTAGTTTTCAGTTTCCATGAAGGAGAGATGTGAAAATCTCTACAGCCATTTTAATAATTTGAAAGTTGGTAACTTAAGTGAAAAAGGTTTCAGGGAAATATTTCAATAGTGTTGGTTTTTTATGTGCATCAACAACCAATAATTGGACTCATTTTCACCAGAGAAAAATATGTTGGCATGAGCAAAAACCCATCCAAAATCAGTTTCCATGTAAGCTGCAACATGGAACATACAACAAATAATACAATGTGTCAAGACTCACACAAACCTATGATCACTCAATAAGTAGCCCAAACACACCAATATGATGTGGATAAATGTTCTGTAAGGGACACTTTTGGAGAGAAGAGTTAAGCCCCAAGCTACAGAATGGCAATTCAATCACCTGCCCAGGAATCCAACAGGTAATATGTGCCACACTCAGTACCTATTTGCAATCAGACCCAATCACTGCAAGCGATGCCTATGTGTACAGAATAAATGAAGTTACGTGCCACTTAATGATAACAAGGCGACCAACTACACACAATATATGAGGCCTATGTTGGACAACACACATATGGTACCGCAGTGGTACACTACCCCGCTCAAACAGGTTCGCAGTCTTGTAAGCCGGTTATCAAAATACCACCTACATTTCCTGCCTACTTTGCACTTTCGTCTTTCACGCGCAGGAATTGCGTGAAGGAATATGGAAGCAAATACATCATCTCGGAAGCCGCCCTCACTCTTCGGGAAAGAGACAAATATGCGGAAATAGCACATCACACAATTTGTTGCACATCAGACCGGACGAGCGCACTTTGATTGACCCACGTTCGGTGATCCAGCATCAGAATGTGAGGCCTTGTCGAAAGTAACTCGCCGCGCTCGCTGGTCGGTGTTTGGCTGTGACAAAACTTCCTGTCCTTGGCACAAGTGATAGTTCGGCTTCGAGGGGCGCAGATTCTCTGATCACTCGAGAGTTCCCAGCTGTGTAAATATTGATCAGAATCCAGGCAAGCATCTCAATCTGTTGAAAACTTGATAGGCGTATTCGACGTGCCAATGCTACCTGGAATTTGGTGCCGTCCCATCCCCACGTTCTGGATTTCTGCCATTCAATGTTCAGATTCTTTTGTCGTTATTCTTATACGGGGAAACTGTTTAACCGGGCGCGACACTGCGCGGCAACGGCAGATAACATATCCTAATTCCTAATGATGAACTAGCTACTGTCATGTGCGGGGGAACCACCAGAAAATCGCATCTTTGGGTCACAGCGGTTATCCGCAGTCATTGGTTCCAAGCAGGGGCGGATCCAGGATTTTGTGAGGGGAGGGCGGACCGAAACTCTCACTAAGACGTCGTGTGGTGTACGCTTGTACCCGGCAAAATAATTTTAAATTAGAGGCTATAGGATCGCAATGTGCCCGTGCGGCCGGCCGGCATCACTCACAGAGACGCTTTCGGCGCGTAGACCGAAAAATGGAAACCAAAAACGGAAGAGGGTGTTGCACCGCCGACTGATAGCACCATGCCAACGCTATCGTATGAACATAGCTGCTCTCTTTCGCGCAATTAAATCATTCTTCCCGTGCCGTAGTCTGGCCCTCACGCCACACGCAGGCCGGCCGCAGTAAGCAATTTGCCAATGAATGGTTAGAAAAAGCCATGTCGACCGACGCGCAATTGGCATTTCCGGACGATAATGCTTCCACGGTGATACCATGGTCTTATTTAAGCACCCCGCGGTGTACAAATACATAAATATTTTAAATTGGTTGTCGGAACTTAGCAAATCACCGTTGAGGACGGCTTCCGGCATTCAGTGAGACGCTGTTGCAGGGTTGATCGTATAAACTGAATAGTGCAAGCCTTGCCATTAGAAGGGGTGGGGGCGATGCGCTCCCCTAAAGTTTTTCGAAAATGCCTCTCCGGCATGTTGGGCAGTTCGGCCCAAATTTTCAGTAGCCTTTAGGGCATTTACTGCGCGTGCTTTGACTTCACGAACGTGTTCCTTACTTTTATGGTTTTGCAGCAGCGGCAGTTTTTGAGGAGCAGTGCCGGTGATCTACGGCTGGCTCGGGCGGCGGGCGGCAACCCACGAGGCCTCGGAACGCGCACGGGCGGGCCGACATTGTTACGGTTGATGTATGCATTTATGATAAATATATGTCCAAAAACACATCCAATTATGACCATTGTACTCAAAATTAAACAAGAAATACGTCTAATTACGCTGTGTGTCGCTGCGAGGCGCGGTCTCATGTGTACGATGTTGGACAGCTGAGAGTGTGATGTTCTGGAAAATTTGAAAAAAAATGTGACGTAATAGGGGCAATTATTGACCTAGAAACATACCAAAAGATTATCTGATTTATCTATTTCACTTTTATTAATAAGTACATATAACATATCGTTGAGACCAAGCCACTGGTATGATTAGCTAAAATATATCTTCACTGATTTGGAAACGCCAGTAGGTCGCATCGACCCCCTTTCAGTACGCGTTATGAAAAACGGCGAGTCAGAGCGAGGGTTCAGTTGACAAGTGTGTTGCACTGGAAGCTGATGGCACTTTACAAACGCTATTGAATGACTGGGTAGGCTGACCGCAGTCAGCAATGCGTCGTCAAACGATGATTTGAAGCAAAATCGTGTTTTGTCAACCGATGAGCGATTTATGTTGCGGGTCGATAGTGCCTCGACAGTGACATCGGTTGCCTACGGTCGTACCAGCCACGCAAGTCTAAAATTAATTCAAATTGGAGCCGTGATCTCGCAGAACGGTGCCGGGAGCACGTCTTCCAGCCCTGAGAGAGATTCAGACACTGCTGAAGGGGGAGGGGGTTGACGGAACAAAATAAATTTGTTGAGCAGACAAGTGTATTTTCTTCTCACGGCTGAAGTCTTTATAATGACGCTATCGAAGGAACACAGCGCACCTTTTTGCGCTCACTTAGAAGTTGTGTCCGTGCCACCGCATTCTGAACATCACGCTACGCGTAAGCCGTTCGCAGTTATCATTGCACCGTCAAGGCGTGATTTAAAAAAGGTTTTGCTGACTGATATGTGATTTACATAGCTAGCAGAGAATACATCGACAATCATATAGTTTGTACGTAATGGCACCTGCCGAGCACTGATAATAATATTTTTAATTGGACGCCGTAACTTTGCAGATTGCAGCTCTGGCCATCCCGCCAAGATAGTGAGACACTGTAGGCTAACCGACCAAATGCAATGGATTCCCTAATCGGAAATGTATAGTGCACTGGGAGCTGATTGCCCCAGACCAGCACTCTCGAATAAACGTAGTGGCACCCCGCGTGCGAATGCGTGATTAAAGCTAATTAAGTTAAAGATTCTGGGCTGCCATATTCTTGCCACACGATGCGAACATGATGGCCGCAGTCAGCATTGCGCTGGTGACTTGGTGATTTGAACAAAAAAACGTCATGTCTGCCTATGAGTGATTTATATTACCGGCTTATAGTGTTCGCTCAATGGTATCGCGCGCACCTGGCTGCACCCGCCGAACACAACTAAACCAATTCCGAATTGGGCGCCGGAACTTTGCAAATCGCCTGTACGGACGGCGGCCAGCACTGGGGGAGATGCTGTCGGAAGGTCGACCGAATATAATGTTAACCGGCATACCAGCACTATCGCCGGCTCACAGTCACGATCTTCGCGAGATTATAAGTATTTTTCCCAGGCCGATGTATCCTGGCCATCGCTCTACAGCGGACCGGCAGCAGTTGGTAATGCTCTTTAAAGGGGTAATTGAACATAACATAACATGTCTGTAGATCGATTTCTATCACCAGCAGATAGTGTAAACACAATTATATAATGTGTGTATATACCCTGCCGTTTTAAGCTCTAAACCATATCATGGTATCGAACCATGGTATCCATATAACCATAAACCATGGTATCGAAAGCACACAGTCCTCCCCCCCCCCCCCCCCCCGACTCGACACGAGCATTGTTTCCCGGGATGCCATATACAGGCTATCACACTACGGACAGTCTTTCGGCAGTGAGCAATGTGTCATCGAGGCGTGATTACACAAGAAAGGTCACGTCAGTCGGTGCGCGATTTACATTACCGACGGAGAATCCTTCCTCCCCCATTGACATCGTGTGCGCTTGGTTAAACGCCCCGCGTACGAATAAAGGGGGCTCCCTGATGTCGTGACTCTCTAAATGTTAAGTTATCGCGCCGTTGGCCAGCGCGTCAAGCTTTCCATTACCGCGAAACGTCCCGTTGGAACAACTGGCCACATCAATGCATCGTGGTTCAGATTATTGGATGCTTGCTCTGCTCGCCACAAGGTATGTGTGGAAGCTCGGAAAAGATCGGTTCGCGTTTGTGAAGTCCTCGCGCCGTTGGCCAGTGCGCCAAGTTAGCAGTTACTGCACAATATCACATTGCACCATTTGGCCACATCTATGCATCGCGGTTCAGATTATTGCCCACTTGTTCCAGCTGCTTGACATAAATACTCACCTTAGAATGTAGCTTGGCTAATGAACCGATACCAAGCTCATGTTGCATACAGGCCAAATTTCGGTGTGCAGACACATAGTCCCACCACATAGTGGAGTCCCACCTCCTTTTAGCCCGTCCACAAGACCCTTTCCCAGAGAGGCCGTGGCAGGGAGTACCCCAAGTGGCTGTTTACCACGTCCCACCTCGTGCTCGCCCCGGAATGGGACGTTTGCTTCCTCACGCTGTGCATAGCTCGGCTGCGGCACCTAGGATGCCTAGTACGCCTGCCCCCGCAACCAAACGGCCCGTTGCGGCCCCAGCGCCGGTGCAGCCAAGCCGGATGACGGCCGCCTGGCGACAGGTTTCCGAACCAACCACCCTGTCGTGTCGGCGCAACCTGGTGCCCCGGTGCGACCGGGCCTGCGTCACGCGCAGGGGCTGCCCTAGCTCCTTCCCGCTTGTGCGGACAATGCCCACCGCGGTGGTAAGCGAGTCCCGCACCGTGGCGGGTAAAACACTTGCCAAAATCGCGGGTGCCGCTGGTATCTGGCATTGAGTGAGATAATGTCAACGATGCCAGCAATCAACATTGCAGTCAGCATTGCTAACTGCGGTTAACTGTCGAGCGGGCTAACCCTCCGATCGCGCAACCTGCAGGCACAGCTTTGTGGTGCACTTAAACGGCGTGAGAGCAGTTTCTGGTCCGGCTACTACACAAAAGCTACTTCCAATTGAGGAGAAAACAATCCTCGAGCAGGGGTGTAGTTTTCTATTTAGTTGGTGGGGGGTCAAACCCCTTAGAGTTTATATAAAAATAGGCTAAATCTAGGAAGAAATCCGGTATTTTGCTGCTTTGGGGTAAGTTGCGTCCCTGTCTAGTTTAGGTCTTGTTAATGAACACAGCTACTCACTTATACCCAAGACCTCAGAGATCACGTCTGCGAATTAGAGAACTGATATACCCTGGTGGGCAAACTGTGAATTAAATATCACGCGATAAATTGTACTACAACCATGCGACCGATGCGCGCTAAGCCACGAAAAGCGGTAGGCTGTGGGTGGGCACGTGGTCGGGTGTGGGGTCGTGAGCGGGGCTATATACCGTGAGTAGTGGTTTCACATTTACGTAGCATACACGATGATTTGGTCTGTCAGTAATTTACGCTGACTGACATGATAGCCATGACTCGGCCTCCAGAAAACAGGTGATTTACATTAGCTATGTATACGCGTGAATTTTGCCTTAGCGACCGTAGCCCAGGTAGTCGTACATTCTGCACTTGAATACCATTTCTATGCAGATTGGCCAGCATCATTATGAGGCACTTTGAGGTATGTAATAAGTATTCCATCATTTAACACGTTATGATTTATTATTATCTTTCAGGTGGGCACCATGTGAAGAGGCAGACATCTGCTACGTATTTGAGTGTGTATCCTACAACTGATCTTCATTTAGTGCAAAATTATGGGTGACTTCAAGAAGACATTAGTCAAAGCTTATCCAAGACAAGGGACAGGACTGACACCTGACAATATCTACTGGAAAAATTTTCAGGTAAGCAAGATAGCATTAGTTATTAGATGACTATTGAACTGTGGTTTGCATTAAGAGAGGTTTTGAAGGCCTTAAAGCAATGTTCTTTGTTTTTGCATTCTGCTTTGATATGAATCTCTTGTGTGACTTTTACAGTAACCTAATGCCAGTTGGAATTATTCATTGTTCAGATCACAATGCTATAGTATGGTTAAGATTAAAGTTAGTAGACTGTGTACTTACATATTTTGACTTCTTCTGTTTCAGTTTCCAGTCACAATACAGGAGTTTGGATCAGCTGACTTTGTGGACTTCTCTGCAGATGGTGAATATTTTGCAGTGACAGCTTCTGCTAAGGTAATATGTAAGGGAATGCTAGTGTATTATTATATTATGCACTGTGGCTCATTTGTCAGCATATTTGTGCATCATGACTAAAAACACCATTTATATAGATAGATCTATTAACAGTGGCTGTTCTTTAAATCATGTGACACATCATAACATAACCTGCACACCAGGGTGTCCCAGAAAAACACCAGAAAGATGTGGTTGATCAAGGCTAGTTTGGTTCTGAATTCAAAATAGGTTCAGTGACATTTTGTTATTCAAATTAATGGATGCTTTATATTTGGGAAAGGAGCTTGAAGTTTCATAGCCTCAAGCCATTTCCACTTTGAAGAGCTGTGGAAGACATTTAGAAACAGACATTGACATTGATGTTAGGATGCTAGAAACAAAGCCATTAGCATTCCTATGCCTTGCTGATTCTACTTAAGTTAGTGATAACATCTTACTGTACCTCTTGAGCAAAGGGGAACATAGTTAGGAGAGGTACAGCAGTAGTTAAAAAACACCTTAAAGCATTGCATCAAGATTGGTCTCAAACAAATCTTTGCTGCAATAGTGACCCATTGGTGTGTAGGAACGTGATGTGAGCTGGTTTGACCTCACTGAACCCATCTAATGTCACTTTTACCTTTCCCCTAGGTGTTTAACCTCAGCCAAAAGAAAGGAAATGTTAAGTCAAATGAAATGAAATAAATGTGGGTTTTTTATGTTGACATTTGACATGGCTTGACACTTCCTTTGGTTGATGTTGAACATAAAGCTCAAAGTCAGATCAGATTGGGATAAAAAAAGGTTAAATAACCTCACTTTGTGTTGGTATACACATCATCAAGCCTCTTTGGTCTCAATAATTTGTTGTATAATACCCATTTCACAACAGTTTGAAATCTATCCATTTATTAGTGTAGCTGCCTCCTCCTTTTCAATCTTCATATCTTATATATATATTCCTTCAGCCAAGTGCCACACCAGCAATATACCACAATGACAAATGTGGAATAAGGGAGGGGGGGGGGGGGAATGCCACAGCTTAAAATCACTGTAGTTCACATGCCCCAAGACTCATTCCATTTGACATGCCTTTTAGTATGCTAATAGTATTATAAAGTACCTTGTAAATGTGGATTCTGATCAAGGGAAGTAAACAAAATGCTCGGTTATTTTCATAATGCAGCTTATTCCTTGCCAGGATTTTCAGGTGTCTTCAGCAATGCATGTATCACATTGCTTCATGATGTTTTTGCTCAACCACATATAGTTGCATCTTTGCATGTATCTAACTAGAGCATTGCCTGTTACAGGTTAAGATTTATAGCAGCGATTCCAATGATGTGTCTAAGGGCCTCAGTAAGTTCTCAAAGACGGCCTTCGGCGGCAAGTTCAGGAAGGATGGCCGTTTGCTGTGCGCGGGAAGCGAGGACACCAGCGTTAGGGTGTTCGACGTCAACAACAAGCATCTGCTGCGACAGTTCAAGGGGGCATGACAGGTATGACTTGAGAGGCCACACCGGTGCAGCAAAGTCGCCCAACAACGCCTTTTTTGTTTTTGACTTTGGTCGTTTTCTATAAGAGTTCCTTAGTGAGGATATACACATTTAGGTATCTCGCCATTGCTGTTGTAGCTGTTGTGTCAGAAATGGCCTCGTGGTCATGCTTTACTAAGAAAGCATTCAGATAATGCGCTGTCCTTAAACCCTTCAGCTGGGGAGCAGGCCTACTGCCCGTACTGGTTGGTTATGATGGGAGTATGAGTCACTACCAGATGACATCGGTGCACCCGAGTTAGCCAGTCAGCTGGCCGAGGTTTCGTTTGCGGTCGTGCCTCGCCTCTTTCGCAGTTGTGCCCCGCCTCGACTCCGTGCCTCGATTAGATCGTGGACCGCCGAACACCGGTGCGCGTCCGCAGACCCACGATCACCGTCGTTCAGACGCCTTTCTGGTGTTGGACAAAAGAGGGCTTGGTAGCGTCGTTTACAGTGCGTGCAGTGCCATATTTAACTGACAAACACAGCGAGCTGCCATGATTATTTCTGCTCTGCATTCTACTGGCTATACTCCGAATCGTTTCTCCGTGCTGCACATGCTCCTTGCAAGTGCTATGACATAAAATTCTGACTGCCCGACTTTCCGTCGGGAGACTCTGGTTGGCGAGCTCGCCTCCGCCGCGCGCGCTGCGGTGCCTCCGCGCTGCCGGTCGGTGCTTGACTCGCGCCATGCCTACCTTTCACCTTGCCTGCCTCTCGCTGTACCTGCTTTTCGCTGCGCCTACCTCTTCCCGTGCCTGCCTATCATCCTGCCTCTTTCCGTACCTGCCCCGTCCCCCTGCCTCTTCTCGTGCCTGTCTCTCGTCCTCCTGCCTCTCTCCGTGCTAGCCCCTCGTCCTGCCTCTTTCCGTGCCTGCCTCTCGTCCCCCTGCCTCTTTCCGTGCCTGCCTCTCGTCCCCCTGCCTCTTTCCATGCCTACCTCTCTTCCCCCTGTCTCTCTTCCCCCTGCCTCTCGTCCCCCTGCATCTTTCCGTGCCTGCCTCTCGTCCTGCCTCTTTCCGTACCTGCCTGTCGTCCCCCTGTCACTTTCCGTGCCTGCCTCTCGTCCTGCCTCTTTCCGTACCTGCCACTCGTCCCCCTGTCACTTTCCGTGCCTGCCTCTCGTTCTGCCTCTTTCCGGGCCTGCCTCTCGTCCTGCCTCTTTCCGCGCCTGCCTCTCGCCGTACCCGTCTCACCGTGCCCGTCCCTCTCCGGGCCTGTCTCTCCTCCCGCCTGCCTCTCGGCCGCCTGTCTGACTCGTGCCGTGCCCCGCCCGCCCCAGGCCGGTGCATCGGTGCGCCTTCACGGGCGACGGCTTCCGCGTGGCCAGCTTCTCGGATGACCGGAGCGTGGCGCTCTGGGACGTGGGCGGCGAGGCGCGCCTGCTGACGCTGAGCGGCCACACCGACTACGTGCGCGCCGGCACGTGCAGCCCGGCCGCGCCCGACACGCTCGTCTCTGGCGGCTACGACCACGCCGTGCGCGTGTGGGACGCGCGCGCCGCCGCCTGCACGGCCGTCATGGAGCACGGCGCGCCGGTCGAGGCCGTGCTCGTCTTCCCCTCGGGCGGCCTGGTGGTGTCAGCAGGTCAGAGACGTCGCCACGGGCGGCATGGCGTAGTGTAGCGCGCGGCTGGGCAAGGCTTGGGCAGGGACGTTGCTAGGCTCTGGTCTTGCGCTTGGCCTGCTCGGATTCGGTCTGTTCCGTTTGATTTCACTTAACCCGTTTCAGCTGATCTATTGTCAGACGAGAATCCCTGTGCAATTCCATGCAGAATCGGGCCCTGATGACAATCGCATCAGAGAAAAGATATGGTAACTCGTTACCCGTGAGCCCCGTGCAAAGACATTGCCTAGATGCAACATATATATATATATATATATATATATATATATATATATATATATATATATATATATATCGTGTGCCGGCAGGGGGGGGGGGGAAGAAGGAAAAGATGCGTGTGTGCGTATGTGTGTTACATGGCGTTACATCAGTGCCCATCCCCATTTCATCGAGTGGCACGAGGGTGCGTATGTGGAACCCGATGCCCGTCACCCGGACGAAGGTGCTGCCGATGTCGTTCCCTCTTCAGTTGCTACTGAGACGTTTGTGTGGGACTTAACGGAATATCTTCTCCGTCTGGTACGGATTTGGGAGTGCGTGACCTGTTGCCAATGTATCTCCTCGATAGGGTGGTATGAAGGTGTCAGTGCGAGGCCAGGTGTCTGTGTCTGTGCACCTCAGCCAGGTGTTATGGGGCTGTGGGAGTGAGACTCGTGTCGGTACACTTCAGCCAGGTGTTATGGAGCTGTGGGAGTGAGAGGTTGTGTTGGTACACTTCAGCCAGGTGTTATGGAGCTGTGAGAGTGAGACTCGTGTCGGTACACTTCAGCCAGGTGTTTGTGGAGCTGTGGGAGTGAGAGTTGTGTTGGTACACTTCAGCCAGGTGTTATGGAGCTGTGGGAGTGAGAGTGGTGTCGGTACACTTCAGCCAGGTGTTGTGGAGCTGTGGGAGTGAGAGTTGTGTTGGTACACTTCAGCCAGGTGTTGTGGAGCTGTGAGAGTGAGGACTCGTGTCGGTACACTTCAGCCAGGTGTTGTGGAGCTGTGAGAGTGAGACTCGTGTCGGTACACTTCAGCCAGGTGTTGTTGAGCTGTGAGAGTGAGACTCGTGTCGGTACACTTCAGCCAGGTGTTGTGGAGCTGTGAGAGTGAGACTCGTGTCGGTACACTTCAGCCAGGTGTTGTGGAGCTGTGAGTGAAGCGAGACCCCGAGACCCCGAGACCCTCGCACCGTGGACCCCGGTGCGAGACCCCGTGTCTGTGTACCTGAGTCAGGTGTTGTGGAGCTGCGGGTGTGTGACCTCTTGTCTGTACACCTCGGTCGGTTTTCCTGGAGCTGTGTTCACGTGTCACGTCACCATTATCGCTCCTCCGTCGCGTCAGGTGGCACAGAGGTACGCGTGTGGGACCTGGCGGCCGGCGGGGCGCCTGCTCAGCCGACTCAGCCACCACAGCAAGACGGCCACCTGTCTGTCGCTGTGCTCGGACGGCCGCCGCCTGGCCTCCGGCTCGCTGGACCGGCGCGTCAAGCTGTTCGACACGGCCAGCTACCAGCTGGTTCACACGCTCGAGTACCCGTCGCCGGTGCTCAGTCTGGCGATCGGGGTGAGTCTCAGACGCGCGCGCGGGCGCCGCCAGATCAGGATCGTCTCGTAGCTAGGCTCGTGTCGTGTCCAGACTCCTTTCTCACGCCGACGGAGCGCGGATCAAGCAGACTTAAACGTCGGAGTCGTACCCCGTTGTCGGTATTTGCAGCCGCCCTGGAGTATGTGTCCAGCTTCTTCTGGATTGATCATTCAATGTTTGGAGCGCTCCCCTCGCTGCTCACGTTGGTCTTTATACCTATGAAACGTGTCCGTTTGCTGGCGTTGTTGAGCTCGGTAGCCCGAGCTGGGCCGAAGAGCGCACTGCCGGGCGCCGCCTGTGCGCCCGGCACCTGACCCCGGCGCGTTCTGCGGCGCCCCCAGCTGGACGACAGCAAGATCGTGGTAGGCATGGCGGACGGCCTGGTCTCGATCGAGGACCGGCGGCGGGAGGAGGCGCCGGCGGCGGCGGCGGCGGTGCCGGCCGGACGGCCGGGCCGGCGCGCGCTGCGGCACCGCCAGGACACCATCAGCCAGCCGGCGCGCTCCGAGCAGGAGAGCGCGGTGAGAGCGACCGCCGGCCGATCCGCGGCGCGCCTGGGGACCATCAGGTCATGGGGGAAGGGTATGGTCCGGGGTGGGACAGACATGATCATTGCCATCTGAAAGTTCACGTTGTTGATATGTGTGTGTGTATGTGCATGCCTACGCCGCCTTGCTTTTTATGGGTCCAATTTTAATGCGCTAAAGCGAAGGTGCTGACAAGAAGTGGAAGAATAGGTGGTTATTAAGAATTTGTCTGAAGCAATTTACTGCTCAGTGGGCCGGATCGCCAAAACAGTATTTCGAAATTTTCGTCTTCGAATGTGGATTAAGATGTCGAATCATACTCTCGTATCTTTGGTTGACTTCATTTAAGTCAGCCTTTTGACACCCAAATATCTGTTGCCCTCGTAACCAAATGGAGATTATGCAAGCTTTGCTGGCCCTATCATTTCGGGCGAAAACAACCGCAAGCATACCAAATTTACATAAATTGCTTAGAACTATTTTACGTCAGCCGCATCAGAACACAGACTATTTTGAACAAAATTGTTTGTGGTTCCTTTTCAATCTGAGGCTGGTGTGGCACGTAAGATGTAATCATTTAAGGTTTGTGTTGCATGTACGTACCTGAAGTGAACCATCGGTGAAGTATTTGTTTCGAGCAAGGCGTTTTGCCAGATTGTGGGCTCAGAAAGAGTTTCACGCTCCATTAGAGTACACGCTTTATGACCGCGTTTCGGCAAACGGTTGGAGGGCAGGTCTGATGACAAGACAGTTTCGTGATTTTTACTCTTTGCAGCGGGTTGTCATTGCATCGTGTAGCGCATTGCTGTGACTTACACATCGCGTGCCGTGCCGTGATCGCATGGGGACTATTTTGAATGCGTGCGCGACACGACGTCCTTCATTAGCAAGACGCTGCCAAGTGACTGCCGACGTTAAGTCTCCAACACTAGAACCTACTTCCAGTGTGGCGTAGATCCCGTGACGTGACATTGACGTGGCCTGGCATTATCATCAGGGCTATGCATGGTGACACGTGTGCATGTTTACGGTACAGACTCCACCGTTCATCGCGCCGTGCCTCCTTCGCCTGGTGACCCCCCCCCCCCCCCCCCCGCCGCGGGGCGGAGCTCATCAGCACCCGTTCGTCGGCAGGCGGCCGCGGCAACCGCTGCGTATCCAGCTCGACAAGTACGACCTGCACCTGCGGCGCTTCGAGTTCTCGCGGGCGCTGGATGCCGTGCTGGAGCGCGAGGTGGTGCGCCGCCAGCCGGAGCGGACGGTGGCCGTGCTGCAGGAGCTGATGCGGCGCGGCGCGCTGCCGGCCGCCGTGGCCGGCCGCCAGGGCGCGGCGCTGCGCCGGCTGTGCGGCTTCGTCGGCCGCCACCTGCCGCGGCCGCGCTTCACGGCCGCCCTGATGGACGCGGCCGCCGTGCTGGCCGACGTGTACGGCGAGCGCGCCGGCCGCGGCGACCCGGACGTCGACCTGGCGCTGGAGGCGCTGCGCTCGGCCGTCGAGGCGCACCTCGCCTACCTGGACGGCCTTCTGGCGCTGCAGGGCAGCCTGGACATGGTGCTGGCGGCGGCGGCCGAGCCGGCGTCGCCGCCGCAGGCAGCGATCGAGGCGGGCCTCCCGCCCGCGGCCGCCAGCTGACGGGCGGGAGCGCCGAGCGGTGTGGAGAAGGGTTGATAGGGGGGCTGCCGGGCGAGCGGACGCCTCCGTCTGTCGAATGTGACTCGTCATGCCAAAGACCTGGCCAACGACGACAGCCGCTAGTGAGTCACTGTTGGAATTTTTGCGAAATAAAAATGTGATGCATAGAAAAGCGCATCGCGTGCAGTTTCCAGCATGTGTCATACTATTACAATGTACACAGTAATGGCTCTGAAGCGAGTACTTAACCCTGATGTGGGATGGAGAACTGACATTGGCCGTAATACAGAGGAAGATGCCGGCAACCAAGCTATCATGAGGACGCGACACGAAATGGTTCTGAGTTCGGGATGGAAAAGGAATGTCGGCGCTTAGTTCAGGGCTGCTGCTGTCAATGGTGTGCGGGAGCGGAGGGACTGATAGATTTATGGATAATGGATGTGCAAAGGCTGTGGAGGGGCACGCGCGTGGATGTGACTGACTCCCAAAATCCGGCAGGGGGGGGGGGGCACAATTTTGCGTATTCCCCTCTGACAAGTCCTGTTTCCGCATCTGGTTAAGGGACGAGCCATTGGAAGCAACGGTGGTTAAGAATGCAAATGTGGTTTTCATAAACGAGATGCTCAATCATTTAAAAGATGTAGCGCATAAGCTGTCCGGTCTTTACCTGCAAGCCGTCCAATTAAGAGTACTTTCTGCAATACTGCAGTACTGCCACGGCTCCACTTAAGCATTGGATTAATTCTAACATTTTGGCCTACAAAAAGCTGGAGAACGTCTGCCAAAACTGGGTCCAGATTTCTATCCAGCGTAGCAGTGATGCAGGACACACTGATGAGCAAGAGCGGACGATCGTAAGAGTAAGGGCGTGGATCAACATGTGCAGTGTCACTCCAGTGGTGCCGCTTTATACACGGGGGGCCCAAGCCTCTCCCCTCAATGCTGACTTAGCCCCCCATGCTACTCTGAGCCCCCTCCCTGGTAAGCACAAGCAAAAAAGGAATACTGGACCAACGGAATGCAGAAAATTTCCCTGGAACGTGGGCACACTAGGTACATACCTGGCTATATCGCCTTAGGTTCGCGTTAATTTTGTGCCGTATGCTACCCTGTAGGTGCCTAACATATTTATTCCATTTCGACTCCTTTAAACGCTAGGACATTCTGCAGTTATTCGCAGGTTTCACGCAATTGACCTGCATTGGGACAAGAAATGGACTGCAATATGCGGCGGCTTTTAAATTACGATGGCCAGTTTATTGGCATGGTTGGACATTTTTCAGTCTAGAAACGGAAGCTGCACATCGGCGATTCATTGATTACACCTCTGAAAATTCTTGGCTAAGCTGATGTAGACACTTTTGAAGATGGGTACACGCAGGGCTTTACAATCGGAGAGGGGGGGGGGGCAGCTTCCAAATGGAAACTAGACCGCAGGCCGCTTTTTTAATATATGTTTTATCCATGGCATTGAGATCGCGGGTATAACTGGCCAAATGCGGGAGATCACGTTTCCGGGGTACGTTAGAGCAGGTTAACCGGCTGGGCCCTCCGAACCGGTTTGAAAAAGTGACACCCCTGGGTAACCCGTTTGTGCGCTTGGTAACACGATCATGGCTCGCCCGTTTCGATGCCATCATAGAACTGGTGTCGGATCTCAGCGACCAAGGCACGCGAAGGCGTGGAACTGTCCACACGGTGTAGACGAATGCGGGATGGTATTCAAGGGTAGCGCTGGGGGCATCTGCCCCCCCCCCCTTTCATCTGCCCTCCCTTTCAATTTCTTAATCATCGATATGCATGTGAATAAATGTCGAGTTCTAAAATATTTGTCGAGAAGATCAGCTGATCACCAGCACGTCCTGTTCCTCTGTAACCAATGGGAAAAATTATGTATTATGTTCTCATCCACCACCCATTCCCACCCCCGATTGCTTACTCATGCATACGCCCCGGACATAGGTGCCGGCCGCACCTCCCAAACAGATCCGCCAGCTTCCCGACCGATAGGTTCGCCAGTAATTGCGCAGTGTTGCCTTTTTCAAAACCGATCAGGAATGCAACACGCTGTGGACTATCGGCAAAGATCGGATCCCGAAAGCCACGGGGGACATGTAGCCCTGTTTATTGTGGGTATTGACCACGCAAAGTCCATGTGTTTTTCTCAATACACACGCACAAACATATATATATATATATATATATATATATATATATATATATATATATATATATATATATGTGTGTGTGTGTGTGTGTGTGTGTGTGTAATATATGCGTGCGTGCGCGCGCGCGCGTGTGTGTGTGTTTTGGAATGCTTCGTCAATTGAAATTGCCGAATCTAAACCAGGCTCAAAGCTAGCCATTTTTGAAGCTTTTCGTGGATTATTCGCAGGAATGGCACTATGTGGAACTTTGTTTATGAAATTGTCGTATGATTATCAAATAAAAAGGTGCCATGAATGCATTGACAACAAACCCTTGGTGTGCATGGCCAAATGTGTCTGACAACGTCTATACACCAACAACTCTGTTTTCCTTCGGCCGGCCCGCCGCCAGCACGCATATTAGATGAGCGAATACATTCAACCAAAGAAGGTGACTCGCGCGCACTTTGTGGTACAACAGTTCATTGACCTGGTCTTACGATAAGGGCTGAAGTCATCGGTATTCTGAAAGACAACGCTGTTGCCAGGCGCCGCTCCTCCGTCGATCCGCCGTCTTTTGAGTCACCTTGACTTTTGATGTTAGGAGAGCCTACGTCGCTCTAATGATTAACGCCGCCAGGAGGGACGCGTGATGGATTCAGACGCGACGGTGAGTTCCATGGAATGACTTTGAAAGACGTTTGTAGAAGGATAAAATAGTCAATCCACCTACGTGCCTACAGCAACGACGTCACTGGTGACCTGACCTCAGCTGGGCCATCAGTTCCGCAGGTGATGTCATCGGTCTTCACGGCGTCACCGTTGCGCGGCATTAGTAGTATTGACTGCCGCTGGGAGGGGCGGCACCACCGGGGATGGGGGGAGGACACGTCCCCCTCCACCCTCGTAAGGGAGCGACAGTCCCCTATCCCAGCAGCCTTCAGGTAGAAGAAGAGCTATTTGTTTATGCGGATTTCCACTAAGATGCGCCTTTATAAACGCCTCTCGCTGTGGGTGAAGGAACTGGGGGGGGGGGGGGGGGGGGGCACGGGACCATGCCCCCCACTTTTCAAGGTGGGGGGGTAGCAGTGTTAACTGCCCCCTCCACTTTTCAGATCAAGGTTCTGTATAGCTTACTTTTGCAGTGCATTAAACATAAATGCTGATTTACCTAGTTCATCAACCATCTTCCTCAAGATGCGCCATCTTTTTCGTCCGGTCATTGGCCATGGCGTAGTATCATAACCGCAGCGTCGACGCCGCGCGGCCTATGGAGACTGTAACGCCGGGCCTCGAGGCCGTCGTTACTCTGACTTGCGAGACAGCATGTTCAAAACCACATTGCATAGCTTTTTATCAGTAATCAGTCGTGATTGAATCTCGAACATTTTGAGGCGAACATGGGTTTTAGTCATGTTTATGCAAATTTGTGACACCACTTCATCTGCAATTTACGTTCAGAGAGTCTTCAATATCTCTGAAGAACACAAAAAACGTGGAATTCGGGTCTGTGTGACAATTATTGGACCACCTGCGGCGACCAGGGATGTTGCGTCAATGAGGATTCCTGTGCTGATCCGGGGCCAACTGCGCGTGTCAGAAGGCCTCCTGTGTCATGGAGGAAAACAGTGTGATATGATATATCCTTCTAATGACCTTCAGGTCGACCAAGAGATCCCGCCCGTGTCGCCAGATTGACAGCCAGAAGACACTTCGTGCGGGGACAGAATGGCCCTTCAGTCATTGACCGTAGACAGTAATGTGCCCCTGATGTTCTACTCAAGGGGCCCCTGCCCGGAAGGAAATCAGGGGTCTCATTATTGTTGAATGGAGTGGGTCGAAATGCGTTTAAAAAAGAAAACCAACAAGGCCATTCCTTGTTTGCCGGAGAACGTTCATTTTTCAAAATGAATTAGTATAACAAATTACATCAAAGGGTTCGAGCATACCCGCCCGCAACCTCGAAGGCAAGGACAGCGATGACCTAGGTTGCAGCTTCCGTAAAGCCGAACGGCTTCGGTCTCTGCAAGTGCCACCAGACGGCGGGCGCCGTGCTAACCTGTCTTCTGGATATATTAACAGTTACAGAAACACGAAAAAGAAATATTCTGCCTTTACCCTCCCAGTTCCACCACCGAATTCCAGTACCGCTGCGCAGTGCTTTCAGGGCTAATCCGTTCTTATCATCAGTCTAAAAATCGCACACGTGGAATATACGCCCAGACTGGCATCAAAATGCATGATTCGATGTCATGAAGTGTTCAAAGGTACTTTTTTTGAAAATCATTTTCGTCCACCCGTTGGCCACAGCTCAACATTAATTGTGGGGCCAACAAGTCTGTCGGCCTACGGAGACTGCAATGCCTGGCGGCGAGGTTTTTGTTACTAAGATTCACGAGTGTGAATGCTCAACATTACTTCACGTAACTTGTATTACAAACGGATTAAGGTGTTTAAAGGTGATTATTTAAGAAGCGCTATCATTTTCATTCACCGGTGGGCCACAGCTGAAAGTTAACCACTGGGCTAAAGCTCCGCGAATTATGGAGACTGCAACGCCTGGTGTCGATATTTTGTTGCCAAGATTTGCGAGCGCACATGTTAAGAAACCACGTCACATGACTCGTATCACTAACCGATTCTGAATGCATGTTGGACATTTTCAGACAACCATGGCTTATTTATTTATTTATTACACGTTATAAGCTTACTCCACTCAGAATGTGGCTATTACAGAGCCCGCGTCATGGAAATAAAACACTGTGGTCAGGG